GTTATTATTACGATGATAACGGGTACTTTAAATAATCAGATGGAAGATTAGCAAAATAACGTTTATTTTTTTAATTGTTTTAGGCGTGTTGAAGAATTTTAGTTCAGTTCGGCGACATGAATAAAGACGCTTTTCTCAAAGCAGATATTCGGTGGTAAAATCTTGACATTTTCTAACTGACTTGTTATTATTATGATGATAACGGGTACTTTAAATAATCTGATTGAAGATTAGCAAAATAACGTTTTTTTATTGTTTTAGGCGAGTTAAAGAATTTTAGTTTAGTTGGCATTGAATCGGCGACATGAATAAAGACGCTATTCTCCAAGCAGATATTCGGTGGGAAAATCTTGACATTTTCTGACAGACATGTTGTTTTTTACGGTGATAACGGCTACTTTAAATAATCTGATTGAAGATTAGCAAAATAACGTTTGTTTTTTTAGTGGTTTTACGCGAGTCGAAGACTTTTTTGGGTACATTATTGTGTGAAATCGCTGTGTGTGTGTGTGTACTATATGTTAGGGTCGCCACGTGTCCAGGGCAAAATCCAACATTTTTTAATTATCACCTCCACCTTTCTGATATCTTATGCAAATATCCAATCGTGCAAAAATTCCTCGTTCAAACTATATCACCGTGGGAGGCGGGCGGACAATAGTCGGATGACATCAAGAGGTCATTGGTAACCGTCGGTCGTCAGGGGCAATTGGTAAGGCCACAGCAAGTAATTTTTATGGATGACATCAGCGCGCATAAATTTTCGCCTGATTTTGGAAAAAAAACAAGAAATTTTATTGCCCTCTGACAGTGGTCACCATGCCGAAAATGGGCAAAGATGTCTGTTGTCATGCCGGAAAGTGGATGGCAGATAACTATAAAGAGAGGAGACAAGGAAATTTAGTATTATATGATTTAATGTTTTGTTTCTTACTTTGATGCAGTGATATGTGATGTTAGCTGTGTACATGTGATGTTCTCACTGAATCAAACCCATCTGTACAATGATTGAGTCGAATTTTTAAAATGTAGGAACCTTGTTTTTTTTCGGTCCGCCTTGTTTTTTTCGCCCGCTCGCATTAGATTTGGAGTCTGTGGAGGATGTCATCCATAAAATTTACTTGCAGTGGCCTAACTACAATTTATTTGCAAGTCCTCCGTTGAATACTGAAGAATCCTAAGTGGAATTTTCAACATTGTCGCGTGTCAACTGGAACGTACATGTTAAGATAAAACTGGCGTCTCGGTGCTATGAAGTCTGTTCAGTAGATTTGAATAGTCGCTTCTAGAGAGGTAGAAAAGTACTGTAGGTTATCACCGAATTATCAGAGCGTCAATCAAGTTAAAGAATTAAAAAACAAGTTTAGATATCGTTTTGAATGCTCTTGGAGTTTTGTAGTTTAGTAAAATGACACTAGCTTTCAGTACAATTGGGGCATTCTTTCAAGTTCAAAGTAGTTTAGGAAAAATCTTTTGGAACTTAAGTAAGTTTTATTTATCATTCCTAATGCCACACAAGACCCCAAAACTAGTGCGCGCGGGCGAATAAAAAAAATCTTCCGGCCAAAAATAAAAATGCTACTAAACCACAGGAATACAAAGCTAGTATTATGAATTTTGCGGCAGTACATAGCGACCTATACGACAAAACGGCACATGCTGGCTTTTTGCGGAATTTATGAATCGGCACTGTATATGTACATGTATGTACTGAGTTCTTGAGTCGTGGAGCTTCGGTAGCCAGGATGCCCGGCTCCGTATTGTCGCTAACTACCATGAACTACCCAGGCCTAGAGCCAGGCCAGAGCCTCGGAGGACGTGATCTTTCAGACTGCTCTTGAGCACAATAAATGGCAGAGTCGTTGGCTACAATTGCTTGAATGATTTTCTGGAAGTGTCAGAAGATTCAGTTGAAGTTCTAGGCATCATATTGTTAGGCCATGTTGATTTGACTATATGGATGACATCCACGCGCGCATGAATTTTCGGCCGTTTACCAAAAAAAAGTTTTCAACCATACTGTAAATCGTTCAAAACAGTTGCAAAATGAGCAAAAATATACCATAAGTTACAAAAAAAAATTAATAAAAACTATACCAATGTCGTAGAATGCCAAAATCAAACGAAAAAAGCGAAATTGTAAAGAAATAAACTTGAAGACTAGATTATTCGCCAAACCATATTCTGTGCCATTTGCTCAACCCTCATGACCACGTAGATTTCATAATGAAAAGAACTTTTTTTTTTGCAAAACTTTTTTTTATTCGCACGCGCGTATCAGTTTTGGGGCTCCCGGAGGATGTCATCCATATAATCAAATCAACATGGCCTTACCGATGTCTATAGTCTATCCTAGGGTCTGTCGCAGACTGATAAAGATGAGGTCAGCTGGCCCGAAATGCTTTCATTGTCAAGGAAAACGTCCGCCCGGTGGGCGGTTAAAAGTGTTTGGAATGCGCCTTAGAATGTCCTCAGCCACACCTATGCGTCCTGTTCACCACACCTTCTCACCACACCTTTTGTTTAGCGTTTCTCAATGGAATTTACGTCATTAGGAGATTGTCAGATGGGAAAAGAAAACAAAACCCGATGTCTTGAGTTGAGAATGGACCTGAGTTGAATGGAATAAAATGGTTTTCTCTTCTTCTAGTTAAATTTACAACATAACGTCCTGTTCACCACACCTTGTCATAAAACCTTTTGTTTAGCGTTTTTGAATGGAATTTACGTCGTTATGAGATTGTCTACTTTATAACAGATGGGAAAATAAACTCATACCCTATTTGAAGTTGAAAATGGACCTGGGTTGAATGGAATAAGATGGTTTTCTCTTCTTTTTAGAAGAAAAAGTTTAAATTTATAAACATAACCAGTGGGTAAAGGCCACAACTATTATCATATGATTAATTAGTTATCTTATTTTCTTTTATTAGTGTTATTATTGTTATTATTAATTATGTTCTTTATTGAAAGGGGGGCTTATGGCATTTTTTCTGTCCCCAGGACATTTATTTTGTATGGGTTATTTAGTATCTATATTCCTATTTTATCTATATTATTATGTTCTGTTTTATTTGATATTTACTTTCTGTATTCCGCTTTTGTAAAATAAAACAAACAACAAAGAAAATAAACAACAATAGTCTTGACGAAATAAATGGTAGGCCGTTAGGTCGCAAATACATTTTGTTGAGGCTTAGAGGTCTATAGATGAAAACTGTAGCCACCAGCCGAGAGAATCAATCATTTTAGATGAAAAGTATTTTTGTGTGACCTTGACTATGTATCAATGTGTATAAAATCTCATACGTGAAACAACATGCCATCGTACTTAAATGTGGTTATACGTACCAGTCAATAAAATGGTTATATTTGTACTCAAAGCACGTGTACATAGAAAGAAAAACGGGTAGGGAAGATATTATAAAGTAACTTTGCAAGTCAGGTTTTTCCCATTTTCCATTTCATAACCCACATGTCATTCCAAGTCCTGGCGGGGTCGTGAAGCGTAGCGGCAGAGTGCTCGACTCGGAACCAAGAAGTCCCGGGTTCGAGTCCTGACATGCCACCGGCACTTTACACGACTTTCCTCACTTCACTCAGGTGAAAATGAGTATTGTACTGTCCCCTGTGTTGGTGGCGACACTAATATAAGTTGAAAAACTTGAGTGTACCGTCACCACGTCTTGTGATTACATGTTGGAATATAAAAAAAGCCCTGGCGTTATGTGAACTTAAAAGATAAAAAATGACCACGTCTTAACTCGCATTTATTGACCAAACGTAGCTCGGTTATCTTACACTTTTTATTCCGTCTTGACATTTTGTTCCTGTCTCTTTTCTTACGTCTCTACAATACCTAATCGACCCGGTTTGATTCTGTTGCTTTGTTGAACTAAAATAGCTACGCTCAGCACACACTACAAAAGGATCATATTCCCCTTTCAGTTAGAAATCGTTTTGTTTTGTCCTAGCTACGTTCCCATGACCAAATTTTTTTTAGCTTCTTCGCGGGGGAACGAATTATCAAAATGTCAGACCTTACTATAATAACAGATTATACATGTGTAACAGTATGCACAAAATGACTAATAAACTGGTGGACGTCCCAACTACAAGTACCTAATACCAGGCCAGAAGAGAACAAGAAATAGCCATGCCTTCAAGTACCAGAGTTATCAACCAAGAATTGAGGTGTTCAAGAATTCATTCTTTCCTAGAACTATCGCAGAGTGGAACTCACTGTCACCAAGTACAGTAGGGGCATTGTCATTAGATAGCTTTAAACAATGTCTAGAGTTAGAAGTTCAAGAATGAGGTGTAACAAGTCGATCGGTGTATATGTAGCCAGCTGCCGCTGCGCCGCGTGCCTGCGAAGCTGGTGTGTTACGCCGAAAGGCGGTTATACCGGTTATACAGATACAGATACAGTAGTGCACCAGAATGAGTGAACGTGAACGTTAGCCTCTACCAGGCTTCGGCAAGCGGCTGGAAAGAGTAGAAAAACGATATAACATACCAGGGGAGTTGGTCGTCACTGAGAGAACATTTTAACAGCTTGTTATGTTCTCTCAGTGCGGAGCTATTTCTCTGCTATGTTATCTTTTTTTCTGGCCGATTTCTACCCTTTCCAGCCGCATCCCGAAGCCTGGTAGGGCCACACCAATTTAATTTGTCGCTTCTCGGATCACCCTGTCCATTTTTTCTGATTTGCAAAAAAAAAAATTGGGGGGAGTGGGGGTCTAAATTAAATGCAAAAGGCTCAATGAAAGACATATTTTGGCCCCAACGGTTGAAAAAAGGCCGTTTCTTCCTAGTTCTTAAGTTTTCCAATGTAACAATGCAATTTTGTTTCATTAAAAGTTGAACATCTAATTGTTTCAATTGATTCTGAATTTTTTCTGTCGCTCCTGATTTTTTTCAGAAAAAATCCGAGAAGCAGCAAATTAAATTGATGTGGCCTAGAGGCCGAACGTGACGTAATGATCTATTGGACTCACCTGATCCAGAGCAAGCTGTTCGATATCGGCGTTCCCATAATGACCTTGGGTGACCTTTACGATTTTGGGGAGGGCGCAGGAGCGGAGAAACTCCCGCAGTGTGTAGCGGCGAGGGGACCAACTCACGTACTCCAACCTCGCCATCTTTCTGTACAAAAAAAGAGACATACATGTATTAAAGGCATCCAATACGATCTCAGAGCAGCAAAACTGGAAATATTCTGAATAAAGAAATCTCTTATGATATTGACACATACTGCTTCACATTTAATAGCACATTTCAATCATTATTTCGTACTTTGGGTACCTAAACTCGAGAAATAAGCTCCAAAATGAGTCCTTTATTTTATGGGAGGTACCCTAAAAATCAGCCAAGGGCCCTTCCAGTGACCATTTTCCGTCAGAATTTTGGTTATTTTTGCTCCATAAGGGCCAATATACATTGGGATAGTGTGGTTTCAACTCAGTATGTAGATAAGTGACTAGAATATTGACTTTGAAAAATCGGGTTTCCAAGTCCTAAAAACTGCACCGCAGCCTTTAATGTACTAACAATATATATTTCCACAATGATACATTCACTGTCATTTCACCAATGTTATCATCCATATTGCAAGCTTTATTGAGGACTCTTACATATATATAGCTTGCCCGAAGGCTATATGTAATTGCAAGGAAATACGCTGTTGTAATAACGGCGTACAAGGTAAAAAAAGTGTCTAGTCTACACATCTAACAAATGCTTCTACGTGCATTACTAGGGTTTGACTTATTCTTTTGAGGCAGTGGCTAATGAATAATCTCACGTTTTTAAATCATCTATAGTAATTCATGAGAGTAATAAATGTATTTAGGCCTTACTAATTTAATTAGTTGTTTCTCGGATTTATTCAGAAAAAAGTATGAAGCGACAGGGCGAAATAAAATTAAAAAAAAAAAAACAGGCCAAAGCACCCCATGAAGACCGGAAATGTTACAATATGAGCCATGAAGTGAACATACCAGGCTGGTTTATAATTAAGGCAATAGATTTTGAACTTTTAATGAAACGAATTTGCATTGTTACATCGAAAAGGACTTTTTTCAACCCTTGGGGCCAAAATATGTCTTTATTAACATTTTGCAGTTGATTCAGAACCTAAAATCATTTTTTTATTTGCAAATCAAAAAAAATGGACAGGGCGAATCCGAGAAACAACAAATTAAATTGGTGTGGCCTTAGCAAGTATTATCCAGAACACGTACATGGGTATGGACTATGGAGGTGGTCCGCCCTAGCTTTCAGACCAACATTTTGTAATGCGACACCGTGTGTAAAGAATATCTGGTCCAAAAGTGGGGCGCGGCACCCATATCTCTCAGTACACTTGTACACACACAGACACACAAACATGCAACAATACAACACAATTTGTCTGAGCCTCTTTATCTTCTACAAATGTACTGATTTATTTGCAGGCATCTTAAATCATAGGTTCCGCGCTAGAATGGGCTATAGACACACAGATACAGTGGGTTGTATTCATGGTGTCTTTCGTTGTGACCTCAAAATACAAGCACCCCTCCACCACATGCACACTAAAAGCACACACTTAAGTACACCGTCGGTGAATTCGAACCAATGACTAGACACTCAATTTGACGTTAAGAGCCTACCAAGCATCGCCATGATAGGTGTTCAGGCGACAACGCCACCAGAATCGGACTTACCCCGGTTGTAACTGCAAACCCCGGCCGGTCTAAAATGTCGTCTGGACGTGTCTAGTATACAAGGAGCAGCCCTCATTTGTGCTATTGGCTTTCTCCCGCCTCGCGCGACGTGAAGAAGATGTCTAAATATGGCAATTACCGAACCCGCAATCATCGAGTAACTCTCGCTACAGACGGCATAATGACAACCCTTACAAGCCGCATTGACATGACCTACTAGCGGTGTGGTAGAATAAAACACCGCGGTTACTTACCTTCGAGCTCTCGCCGGGGAACTTTAACACCAGGTGGTTGGGTGCCGACTGACGAGGGGTCGATGTGGGAAGTTTGACAGCATTGAACTGTTTATTTGACCACGTCGGGATGTAGCCAGGCAAAGCCGGCGCGCGCAAGCGGGAACTGGGGGTCTCTTATCGCCCGGTTAGTGTTGCGTCACGTCGCGCGCGTTCGTTCTCGCTGCAGACGACAATTGTCGGGAAGTAGCCCGGACCGTGAGTGACGTTTTCCCGGGTCCTCTTGAGGGACAGGCCACTTGAAATCACGTGAGCAGAGTCTCAGGCGGCGTGTTTATGCAGAGCCTTTGGTGCGATATAGAGCAAAACACTCGCGGGGTGTCTCTCCAACCCACTTGTTGCTGCCTACCGCGGCTCTAGACTTCCGCTGTGGCGAGGTGAATGGGGAATGATCTCAAGAAACCGTGTCGCGTCGTTCACAACAGTTGGGCTAGTTTTCTTCTCAGTACAACCCGGCTGAAGAAGTACTGGTGGTTGAATGGGGGCACTTTTCATCCGTCCAAATACCGACATGCAAACGGGGCATGAGAAGAGTATTGTTCTGCATACAAAACGCGGGTTTTGTGGACATGAAAAGATCCGTGTTGAAACATGACTTCACCTTTGGACCTGTCTCTCATTTACCGACATGCAGACCACTCTATTATCCACTTAGGGGGGCGTTTCAAGTTACTACGGGTTAGAAATCGGAGCTCTTCCCGTGTGGGAAGGGCGTACAAGTGGTTCTAAGATAGTCTGGGTGCCAGACAAGTTTACGGGCCTCTAACCGTTTCCTTCGGCAGCCAGAAGCCCTTCGCCCGCAGACCTAAATTACCGCTGCGGTGGAATTGAGCCCGTGGGAAGTATTCGGCCCTGAAAAAACTCCCCCCGGGCTAGACTACCCCGTAGCGGTACTTTAGACCAGCGGGCGAAGGGCTCTTGCGGCCCGGAAAACGAGTTTGGCTTCCAGGGTATTCTAAGACGGATATCGGAGGAGTGGAGTAACTCAAGGAAGTCTAAGAAAGCCACTGGACGTCTTCAAGTTTGAGCGGAAATAGTTAAGGGCAGAGTTTTCCGCTATGAGATTCCCAATCAATAAATGTCAAGTGGAATTGCCCAATTAATAAGTCACTGATACGCTATGATATATTGTGTGGTTTTTGCGCATTATGTTTATCTAACTTTTCCGTACGTATTATGACATGTTGATTTAATTAGATGGATGACATCCTCTGGGAACCCCAAAAACTGATGCGAGCGTGTGAATAAAAAAGTTTGGCAAAAAAGTTGCCACGGAGTATGGTATGGAGAATAATAAAAAAAAAAATTGAAAAAAGAAGAAAGACCTTTAGTGTACATTAGGCCACACCGATTTAATTTTATGGATGACATCCTCTGAAGACCCCCAAACTAGTGCGCGCGGGCGAAAAAAATAAAAATCCGGCCCAAAATAAAAATGCTACAAAACCACAGGAATACAAACCTGGTATTGTGAATTTGGCGCATTACATAGCGACGTATACGACAGGCCGACACATGCTGGATTTTTGCGGAATATATGAATCGACACTGCTGTACGTATGTACTGAGTTGTTGAGTCTTGGAGCTTCGGTAGCCTGGCTGCCGTCAACCAGAGTTATCACCACCATGCACTACCCAGGTCTAAAGCCAGGCCAGAGCCTCGGAATACGTGATCTTTTTTTTTTGAGATCGGGCGAAAATCAATGCGCGCTCGGATGTCATCCATAAAATTAAATCGGTGTGGCCTTAGTGCTCATTGCGAACTAAGTACAGGTCACGGCAAATAGCGATGGTAGACTAAAATCTATCTATAGTAAAACTACATATGTACAGGTTCTGCTTCTTCTCGACAATTGTACATGTAAGAACAGATGGAGCTTATAGTACGAGCATTATCGAGTCTTATGTGGAATTTGAATTTTTAATATAATAAATAGAATAATAGATAGACATTTTTTTCGCATTTTTCTTCTTTTCCTTAGGAATTGATTTTAGCATTCTACGAGATTAGAATTGATTTTCAGTATATATATTTTCAATTTACGGCACATATTTGCTAATTTTCCAGCTGCTTTGTAAGATTCACAGTATGGTCGAAAACTTTTTTTTTTGAACGGACGAAAATTCATGGGCTCGCGGATGTCATCCATATACGTAATTTTATTCCACGAAGAACTTTATATATCTATATATTATAGTCAAGCATTTTAAGATTTTACGACATGTATGACGTTGAATCAACATCTGTTCATGTGCAATACAACAATCGAACGTCGTTAAGAATTCTACCTCATCATTTGAAACGTTCCCACAGAAAGCTTACTTGTTTCAGGTTCACGACACGAGAGTGGGGTCACCCAGTGCTAGTAACCCAGTGCAGGGTTTGGACTGCAAATCTGCATCATATTTCGATATAAAAGCGCCCATCCATGCCCGTAGCCAGGGGGCACACACACACACACACACACAAGCCATGAGGCACACACACACACACAAGGCTCAAAGGTCCACTTTTTGGTCCACTTTTTATGTAAAGGTCCACTTTTTGGTCCACTTTTTATTTAAAAGTCTACTTTTTGGTTCACTTTTTATGTAAAGGTCCACTTTTTATGTAAAGGTCCACTTTTTATGTAAAGGTCCACTTTTTGGTCCACTTTTTATGTAAAGGTCCAACATTTTTCTCGAAAAGATGGACTGGAATCATAGAAAAACTACTCCCTTTGTCATTGAATAAGAGTTTATCTCTGATTTTTTTCTTGGAAATCCTCTCAAAAATGCACGAAATGCCATTTAGAAGGTTCATTTTTCACAATTTTCCGGGGGAGCATGCCCCCGGACCCCCTAAGAACCTCGCGCCTACGAGGTCACCTCAAGCGGTGGGAAGAACCCCCCCATTCAAAATCCTGGCTACGGGCATGCCATCGTCATATAATAAACAAATATATACCGTTTAGAAGACTGTTACAATATCTGAAACGTCCCCTGAGAAAGCTTACTTGTTTCAGGGTCAGGGCGAGAGAGAAGGGTCACCCCTTGCAAGGTTTGGGGCAGCAAGTTCTGCATTATATTTGAATGTTTGCCGTCTTTCGTGTTACAATGGGGGAGGCACTCTCTGTTTGCTGTGTAGAAATATTGCACAAATATTTGCAGGGTCACTGTGCATTGTGTTCACGTGGTCTAGGCGTCATTTGATCTGCCATGCTCCAGCTATATCTAAGTATATCGACATAGTTGTGTAGGTTGGGTAGTACTTTCTCATTTCAATTTTACCTTCGCCAAGAAGGTTATGTTTTCAGAAGCGTTCGTGTGTGTGTCTGTGTGTGTCTGTCTGTAAACACGATAACTTGAGAAGGATTAAATGGATTGTCTTGATACTTGGTAGGTGGGTAGGTCTTGATGAGACCTAGAAATGATTAGATTTTGGGCCCCCTAGCGGCTTGTTCATTTTACTTCATTTATTTACCCATGGACTATACATATCGCCAAAAGGGCCATGTAGGCATACATTATCAAAGCATATATATAATACTGAAGGAACAAATAGAAAAAAGACATAAACTAACCTATTAAGTACAATAAAAGTAAGTATTGATACATTGGGTAATAATGATTAAAAGTACGACAAACTAATGAAGTACATGTACATAAAAGTAGAAAAATAAATATAGCAAATGAAATAAATAAAGTAGATAATGTGACATGCATATCAATGATTATAAAATAAACGAAAGGTTTCTACACGCCAAACGAAACATAATATACACTTAAACGAAGCGACAGAAACAATTTCTTGCCTCTTTGTTTTACTTTAATAGCTAGGGCCCGGGTTGGTATATTTACAAAGCTGGTATGTGGTTAGTTGTCTGATAGCACTCTTGTTTGTTGAATGCTCCAAGTTCAATGTACTATTTTGTGAACGCTGTTTGTAGTTCTTTGCAATTGCCAATGTTTATTAGGAAACGTTAGCTTTGGATGTTTGCTTTTTGAAACCATTTCGATAAAACCTAAAGATATATTATGTGGCAGACATTGATGTAATGGTACAGTCTTTGCGATCATTTGTTGGTTTTTACACTGGCTGATGATGGAAGTTGATACATGTGGTGACATTGAAGATCGCAAGGTGGCGCTTCCAGATGGACGTAACCGGCATGTTCCAGGAAATACTGAGTCGACATCAACATGACGAGAACATCCCTAAACAAACTTAGAACTTGGAAATGACAGGAAATGAATGTCGGGATTTATTTTATTCCAACATGTAATCACAAGACGTGGTGACAGCACACTCAAGTTATATCGACTTATTTTTTTAATATGCCGTCACCTAGGTAGAGAACAAATACGGAACATGACAATACTCATTTTCACTTGAGTGAAGTGATGAAAGTCGCGTAAAGTCCCTTATTTCCCAAGGGCACAAGATCAGATGCGTGTCAGGACTCGAACCCGGGACCTCTTGGTCCCGAGTCGAACACTCTGCCGCTACGCTACACAACCCCACAACGTCGAGATTGCTGAAGTAAGCTATAGATGGGTCATAGATATGCTTTGAGATGGACTTCTGTCAAGAATAGCATGTCACGACTTTGTATAAACATCCGTGTATGTAAGATGTAAATCCCACTTCCTGTTAGCGTACACATTCAGCACCCTACCCCTCTCTTAATTCCTTCCATTCCATCTCTTCTCCCTTCCTATCTCCCCCCAACCCACATCATTCGTAGCCCCGTCAGTCTGTGTCAGCTGGCTGGCGACTACCATATATTCTTGTGTACCGTAGACAAGAAGTGGTCCTCTCGTTCGAAGCTTGCAAAGAAGAGAATGTTAGGCGACACCTCCTTAGTTTTATGGATGACATCCTCTGAAGACCAAACTAGTGCGCGCGGGCGAATAAAAAAAAATTCCGACAAAGAAAATGGTACTAAACCACAGGAATACGAAGCTAGCTGGTATTGTGAATTTGCGGCAGTACTTAGCGATGTATACGACAAGCCAGCACATACTGGATTTTTGCGGAGTTTATGAATCGGCACTGTACCGGTAGGTCTTCAGCCGTGGAGCTTCGGTAGCCTGGATGCCGTCCTCCAGAGTTACCACCTACTCCCTATTGTCGCTGACTACCATAGACTACCCAGGCCTAGAGCCAGGCCAGAGCCTCGTTGGGCTTTTTTTTGGACAGGCGAAAGTCAATGCGCGCGCGAATGTCATCCATAAAATTAAGTCGATGTGGCCTTACTAAACTGAACAGATGTTTCTCTTCACCTGCCATACTACTGTCGCCCACACCAACTTGAGCTTGGCCTGTTTCCCGGATACAAGTTAGGGCGCGGCCACATTCGAGGACGTTGTACATTTTTGATGCCGTGATTTCTAAAAACATACTGTGACAAAACCAACCACAGACATTGAGGATCTAATTTCTTATGACATCCTTTTCCGTAGCAAGGATGTTGAATTTGGCAACACACATGGCAGCTTATCAGATGATGAAACCAGAACATCCACTTCACGAACTGGTTCCACCTCAGAGACTGGCATCCACGGGGCGTAAACTGAGAAACCACGACAACATCGGTCTACCCTTGGCCAGAACAGAGAGGCTCAGAAAATCATTTTTGTACACTGCTGTCAGACTGTACAATGAGACTTTGTAATAAGCTGTTATTTCGTGCCCCTTTCAAGTATAGTATAGTTTATTGCCGTTCTTTCAGAATTGTTTTTAACTCACTTAAATGTCGCAGCTGCAAAAACTATAGTTTATTTCTATTTTAAAGATTATGAATAGATGAAAAATGTTTTTTAAAATGTACTGTTTAGTATTTGATCTTAAAACTTGTAAGTAGTAATTTCAATTTAAGGTATTTTTCGAAATGTAATAAGATATTAGCAAGTGTAACGTGCTCGCGATTTGTGTACAAACCTCACAAATCAGCCGTGAGGCTGCGATGGGTTTTGGTTTTCAATAAACAATAAGAAATAATCAACTATATCCCCGCCCCCAGTTCGCACGGTGATCGTACGACGCGCGCACAACGTAAAACGCACATTGCAAAACAAGGCAATCAGAGATGGTAGATCTCGATCCCTGCAGACAATACGCCCCCTGGCAGATCATACAGAGACTGCAATGCAAAAACAAGCATCGCACAAACAGACACGTCTTCTTAATACAAACCGATTTACACTTGAATGAACCTGTCTACGTTTAAAACCACGCAATCGTAAGTATACAATGATCTAGTTGTACCTATTTTTTTCATCTTGGACTGTCCATCCTGTAATGTTATTCGTTATAGAAGTTGTATTCGTCCCTGTCAGTTATATTTTCTTTCTTTCTGTGGTGAGGCTAATGTCAGCAGCCGCTACAGTTTATTTGTTTTGTTAATTTATTTATTATTTGCACGAATAAAAAAGTTACAGAATCAAACAATAACAATCAGAGAATATGCGGGGTAGGTCAGTAACCTAGGTGGTTTTTTAAAGGGCCTACCCCAAACAAAGGTAACTATGACACATGACAAAACATATTTGAATTAAACATCAAAATTAAACAATGAAATAATTGATTAATTAAACAAAATCAAGATACAGAAATAATAACTGAAGTGTCTAAACTAGTTTTTACATCTATGAAAAGAAATTAAACAAAAGTCTTATAATTCAGGTCGCTGTTGCAGAAATTAACTGATTAGATAATTAACATAAAAATTAACGATTAAAATGATTGAAAAAACAAGGAAAACAAACAAATCAGATTGTAGCGGTACTGGGGTTTTGTAAGAAAAAAGTTTTTAAGAAGTTGCAAATCACTGTGGTCTGTACCTTGTCATCTTCAGCAATAAGTTAAACAAAGCAAACAGCTGAAAAATCACTCACAAGAGGTGAAGAAAGATTGTGATGCTGATCAAGCTGTAACCAATCACGACTTCCATATCCGGTGTACTTCTCAAAACCTTGATTTTGTGCTCCTCTGTGACAGACTTATATTTCCTTTCTTTCCAGGAAGTAACACAAGCCATGTCCATTAACAACATCCTTGCTTCCCAGATGCAAAACAAGGAACTGTAACCACACATGTTCCTATTATCGACTAACGACCAGGCTTTGTCCATAGCTTGTTGAAGACGTACGGATATCATCCTCTATCAGGCTTCGCAGGAAGCGACTGGAAAGAGTAGAAATTGGCCGAATAGAGAGAATAACATGCACTGGGGGCGGAAGTGGAATTTACATCTTAGATGTACTCACTAGCGGACCAACACCTCTGGCATGTTGTTACCTTCGCCAAGAAGGTTATGTTTTCAGAGGCGTTCGTGTGTGTGTGTGTGTGTCTGTAAACACGATAACTTGACAAGGCCTAAATAAATTGACTTCATATTCGGTAGGTGGGTAGGTCTTGATAAGACCTCGAGATGATTAGATTTTGAGCTTCTTATGGTACTGCAGCTAAACGTTTTGATATCTCGTGATATGGACGAGTATGAATATGATCAACTGATATAATTCATGCAAATGAGGATCCTATTTGCATAATCAGGAGGAATAATCTTTACTTTGTCAGTCATAAAGGTTAACATTATTTAGCGAAGGTATGAGATTGGGGAACTCTAGTATTTTTCTTTCTTTCTGTGGTGAGGCTAATGTCAGCAGCCGCTAGAGTTGCAAATCACTGTGTCCTGTACCTTGTCATCTTCAGCAATTAAGTCAAGTCAAGTCAATCTTTATTGCACAGCAATTGTAACGGGTACAATGCATGGCAAGCTCTTCAGTACTACATAGCTAGCTAGCATCTACTCTCACGTCTACAGTATTACCTACAAGTTCTATGTATCGAAAATAACAGTCTATTTCAAAAGTTAATATAGTTACATGTATATATATGGAACATGGCTGACATGATAATGTACAAGTTTTTATATATGACTGTATAAACTAGAGTGTACATCAGTTGGTTGTGTCGCATATAATATGATTTCTTTTAACTAAAGCTTTGGATGGATATATACTGGCCTATGTACAGGGAAGTTTCGTCGGAACATGACATGAGAAGTGTAAAAGTATCTGAGATTGTTTTAGGTAATGTTATATGTGCCTTGTTGGTGATCGCATTCATAAGTGTTTCTCTTTCTTCGGTAAATAGGCAGCAGAAAAAAATTCTTTCCAAGGGATAAAGAAAGATTGCGAGTCAAGTCAAGTCAAGTCCAGCTGTAACCAATCATGACTTCCATATATCCGGTGTACTTCTCCTAACCTTGACGTTAGAACTAGTGCTCCTCTGTGACAATCCCCTATTTCCTTTCTTTCCAGGAAGTAATGCAAGGCATGTGCATGAGAGAGATTCCCTGTATTCTTATATAATAGTTCCACAGCTTTGGACATCTAAATGAATCAGAAAAATTCATATTTCTTAATGAAACTTGACAAACCATGTATCATTAGTTCTATATGCTTGTATATCTATAACTGCGTCAAGAAGCGAGAAGAAGTTGAACATAGTAGATCACATTGGTATGTGTAGTTTAAGTGTCATTGCTGTATCCTTTTCCTTGTCTATTCATGACCTGTACTTAGCTTGTTAGAGCACAAACGTACAATAAAGGTCTTTCATTCATTCATTCATTCATTCATTCATTCATTCATTCATTCATTCATTCATTCATTCATTCATTCATTCATTCATTCATTCATTCATTCATTCATTCATTCATTCATTCATTCATTCATTCATTCATTCATTCATTCATTCATTCATTCATTCATTCATTCATTCATTCATTCATTCATTCATTCATTATGAAGAAAGTGCGAGTCAAGTCAAGTCCAGCTGTAACCAATCACGACTTCCATATCCGGAGTACTTCTCCTAACCTTGATGTTAGAACTAGTGCTTCCCTGTGATAGCCTTGTATTTCCTTTCTTTCCAGGAAGTAATGCAAGCCATTAACAACATCCTTGCTTCCCAGATGCAAAACAATGCATGTTCCTATTATCGACTATAGGCTTTGTCCATAGCTTGTTGAATATTAGTCTCTATCAGGCTTCGGGAAGCGACTGAAAAAAAGTAGAAATTGGCCAAATAGAGAGAATAATATGCCTGGGGTGCGGCAAAATGTACTCACTAGCGGACCAACACCCCCACGCAAGTTATTCTGTCCATTTGGCCAATTTCTATTCTTTCCAGCCGCCTCCCGAAGCCTGGTAGAGGCTATACGAATATAATTTGTTGATTGTATGTCTAAACATGCTGATATACGGAATTCATCAATTATCAAGTATCATTTTCTATACCAGGATTTATCTCGAGAGAGTTTAATAGGAAATTGATGTAGGAAATAAGTACATGTGACATCGACAACCCCTGCATAGTATACATAATAAAAATGTATCAAAGAATGTAAATGATAGAACGTTAGAAATTCCTCCAATGATTGTAAAAGGCCATCCCCATCCTACACTAGCTACACACTCTCGTATTAGTTAAGTTAGCCTTAGGCCACACCAATTCAATTTCTTGGTTAACGGATTTTTCTAGAAAAATAATGGAGCGGGCGGGCGAAAAAAAATAAAAACAGGACTAGGCATCCTATTATGGCCCAAAATACGATAGGAGCCATGAAGTCAACACACCAGGCTGGTTTAAATTTAAACAATGAATTTTGAACTTTTAATGATACCACTGCATTGAAAGATGGAATAACTGTAACAACTAGGAAGAAAAGAACTGTTTTCAACTGTTCAGGGCAAAATATGAGCATTTTGCAGTTGATTCTGAATTTTTTTTTTTTTGCAAATCAGAAAATCAGAAAAAATGAAGCGGGCGAATCCGTTAACATCCGTTATATATACTAGTAGATGCCATACTTTGTACCCTGTACAATTGTTGTGCAATGATGTTGATATTTGTTATTATCCCTACATTGTAAATATAGGGCAGTACAGTACAGTAGAACCCCCCCCCAACTATTTTGCAAATATTACAGTCTCATGCCAGTCTTTTCTAGAGTAGTTTAGCTTCCAAGAATAATATTGTTCTTGACTAGTAGAAACTATCATACTTTGCACTATCTTATACAACTGTTAAGCAAGTAAGTTATTATGTTATATAACCCTACCCCTTGTCTTGTTTGCAAGCGACCTTACGAAAGGTTCTGTACTTTATGTCGTGTCAATAAAGTTTCTCCCTTTATCAGTAAAATCACACTCACGCCCCTCGAAGCCCTACCAAATATCGTCTGTCCAATATTTGCGCAGTGGGCGTTTTTAAAACCAGTGAAGGGATGTTAACTTTACTATAGGAATATATATTTACAATAATTCGCATTACAATAAAACATAATTAGCTAATAATGGCAGGATTATTGTTCTTATATTTTTTTGGGTTAGATTCGTAGGAATCGGTGACAAGGGTGGGGAAATAAAAAATAGGTTTCTGCACACACCCCTATGTACTTCAGATGGTACAATCCTGTCACCTCGAACTTTGTCACCTAAGTCAGGCTTCTACACTCTGCTGTTCGTCGTTAGCAAAGCTTTCTGCTTGTAGAGTCTTTTTCCTTTATACAGTTTTCCAACGACATGAAAAGATGATACTTCCGGTGTTCTTCCTCTTAGGGCTGCTTAGAGCAGGTAAGCAACGTTTGTTCACTGTTAGAGCCTTCAGTTGGAGAGCAAACTTAGTTGAAATATTTCCAACTTAATCCCATTCGTTGTTACTTTTTGTTAGCACTGGATAGAGTTTATAGAGCATATGTACAACTAGATGTGGATGGATTTTGCGCAGTTATTTTCTTCTTTTAAACGTTGTGGGCGTTTTGCTGTTGGTAATTTTGTTGTTATCGAGGACTTTGTACTGTGACTTTTCAGGCTGTTTTTGTGAAATGTTCTTTTAAAAGCACTTACTCAGTTTCGTTGACAAAAAGGCGCGCCTCTGTACCGTTAGGCCATGCACACAGCTACAAACATACAGCTATTTGACGGAATTTTCGTTTACTCATGCTTGATTTTTCATAGCCATGTGATGTGTATCGATCGTCAACCCTTTAACGTGTGCCATTCCATGTGAGTATCTGCCAGTGCCAGGCTGGAATAAAGTACAGTTTGTACAGAGTTAATAATTGCGTAGAACAAGCCGAGGGGATGTAGCCTCCTGTGCAGGCTTCTAGCGATGGCAGCGTTTGGTTTGTCTTTTACAAGCGGCTAGGGTGGCGTCTTTTTTCGGGGAGGGGGGTCGGTGTTTTTGGGCTGGTTGAAGCTGTAGCTACTTGTTGGACCTCCTCGCAGCCGTTTTGGAGAGCGCTGAATTATGAGGCTATTTACAAAAGTATCGGTCTATAAGAGAGAGAGAGAAAGAATGAAAGTAAGAGAGAGAGAGGACAGAAGGAGAGAGGGAGGGAGGGAGGGGACAGAGAGAGAGAGGGGGACAGAAAGAGAGAGGAGGAGGAGAGAGGGACAGAGAGAGGGGGA